GCTACTCCTCAAGAGCTTCTTCTTTAGCCTCAAGCCTCTCACGCTCTGCGACTGTGATCTCTCTCAGATTTTCGTACAAAAACAGGTTTGATCATGGTAAAACCGGGCATCTCGTCTTCGGAATCAGTCTCGTACTCGGACTTCTCCTCTTCCTCCTCCTCCTCCTCTTCTTCTTCTTCTTCTTCTATAGGAAGCAGAGCAGGCTCCTCTTGAGCTCTTTTCAGATTCTTTTCTCTAATCCTTCTTCTTCTTTCTTCCAGGGCATCTTCATCTTCTATAGTCCCTTGATTCCTCTGTTCTTCTTCTTCTTCTTCTTCTTCTGTAGAGATAATCTCAGCCTCCTGTCTAACTCGCTGATGATCAGCTCTAAGTTGTTCACGGTTTTCGACTCTGGTCTGAGCTAAACGGCGCAGCCTTGGATCATCCTTATTCCCACCAACCCCCAAATCACCATGCTTTGGAAAAGCTCTATCCAAAACATTACCTTCATGATCTTCTTCGGCTTCCTCAGCCCACTTGGGAGCTTTTCCAGGCCAATATCTCCTCACTTTAGTCTGTCCGATCCCACCTCGTAGCTTGTCCCTTGTAGCAAGTGCAGCATAACTAACTCCCGCTGTGACCGACATCTTTGCACTTGCGATTTGTATAAATCAAACTTAGTTATGTTGGCTATATGAGAAACCCTAATTTACTACCGATGGAGAATGAAAAGGATTCAACAATTTGGAGAAACAACGAAACACTAAGAAAGAGAGCTTGAAAGTTGAAACCAACCGAGACGTTAATTCGCTTCTTCGTTCTTATTGTTTAAGAGGAATTTACAACAGTATTTATACCCAATATAAGATAGATAGGTATTTCCTTATCATACAAGTAATTTCCTTATCAGCAAGGTATTTCCTTATTTTCTAACGATATAAGGTTTAGGGATTTTCTGTGTCATTGTCCAATTAAATTTAGGTCAAAAGTAATATCTATATATATATATATATATATATATATTTGTTTTGAAACACGAGCTAATAAATAAAGAACGGATTTAGGGGTTTAATTGTCAATTTAGTTATAGTTATAGGTCAAAGTAAGATCCTATTTATCAAACGTGCTTTACAAGTCACCGTCATTCCTTTGATTGACTAGCTTCTGATGCGCAGCTCTTGCAACTTTCTCGCGATTGATTGATAGTGTTGCCACTCATCTTATTGAACTAGATTGGCATTTCTCCTCTCTCAACCACTCATGACAAAACTCTTCCCAATGCATTTTGTTTGTACGAATTTAAACATTTTTCTGTTTCCTATAATCCTTCGGTTTTATGATTTGTGCAATGTTGGTTTCCAATAAGTCGCCGTCGAAACTAAGCAGTGGATTCCTGTAGAGTGACATCTGTTATAAATATTGAGGACATATCCAATCTAAATGAACATATAATTGCACCCAAAAGATCCGTATGAATTTAAACATTGCATTGATGAAGATGTTCTTCATATTGTCTCCTGGGAGGGAAAGAGGAGAATAGCGTAGATGATGAAGATAATGATTGGGATGCACACCTTTTCTGCTAGCAGAGTTGCCCAATGAATATAAGATGATAACAATAACAAGGTTTGCCATGATTGCAACCATTCTTGCTGCCAGAAGAAAGTTCACCACAGCTTAAACTGGAAGCGGCAACCTTTATCATGCGTAAATGCTTGCTTCCAAGGTATTAACTTCTCTTAATATCGACTTGTTTCGTTAGTGAGTATATTATTTGTATTTCATCAAATTTAAGGTTAATTTATTTCAGTTGTAATATTTTTATATCTTAGTGGTTTTTTTTTGGTTACTGCATTTCTATAATTGTTGAGGATAAAACAGAAATTTTAGATGGCCTTGATACTATTCAAAAACAGATGGAAGGTTTATTTGGAATGATGTGTAAACTAACATTGAATCAGCTTTAACTGACGGAATTGAGAACCTGCAAAGAAACTTCACACAGCAAGGAGTATAAACGACCAGATGTCTTCTGATTACATGCTCTGGTGATAGGATTTTATCAATGATATCATGTACAAATCATAGTACTTCAGAGTGCACTTCTTCTACAAAACACAAGACCCTAATAATTCCAAGCTATATTCACTTTTAAAAGACATTGTTTCACTTTCATAAGACATTGTTTCACTTTTTTCTTTTACACCAACAAATGATTCTGAACAGAAACTCTTCCCATCTTTTCCAGAAACTTCTGCAATGGCACTCAGATACTCAGGGCCGGCCCAAACTGTATTCGACGCCTAAAACCTAGCAAAAGAAATTTAGTCCATTATTTTAAAAAATTCTCAAATAAGCACTATCAAAAGTCGAATCCAGGACCAGAAGATTATAGTTTGCAATTTCTAAAAATTGATGCCCTAACTTTTATATATAATTTTGACGCTCTAAAATTAGGGTTTTATCCGCTTTAGTCCAGGGCCAGTCCTGCAGATACTATTCAGGAACGAACAACTTTCTTTTGGGTTTGAAAACATGAACAGTTGTAATTTTGTATTATGTCGTGTCTGCTATCTCCTTCTTATGCTCCAGCTTATACAAGGATCTTAGGGCGGATAAGATGTGCACCGTTACCATGTTCTTTGTCATTTGCATAATTTCCCTTCTTTCCAGTACTGTATGAAAAACCATATATGTGTTTGAATCCGTCAGATCTTTTGGGTGCATTTATTGGTCAAAAAAGTCTCGATTGAATTCTAAAAACTTATACTGTGTATTGATTTGTGTGATTTATTTACCTATAAATAGCTAAATTTATCATGATAAAAATAAATTATGTTTAATTATTTTATTTTTAGGGGAAAATATCCATATCTGTTATCCCATCCGAAGGACAAGCAAATATAAATATATTAATTTCCTTTGAGAGGTTTATAGGTCTAAGGTCGAAACACCACACAGCTATCAGTCGCTGAAATATGACTGAGACATGGACCAACATGGAATCCATGTAGAAGCACAACATTCAAACGATGATAAATTGACCTTACTTTAAAAGCACAAACGGTGATACTCCATAACTATTGCGATCATAGAAGCACAAAATTCAAACGGTGATATATCCCGATTTATCTCAAAAATTGGATCAAAAATTGGATCGGAAATGGATCTTCCAATCATTAGTAAGAATATAGTCAGAGCCACTGGTTCTTCTTCTTCGTCCGACAATTCTAATTCTTACTAAGCACACGTTCTTCTTCTTCTTCATTTACACCACAATGTTAAACATAGCCACTGTTTTCAGCTAGCTTCTTGCAACTGATTGATGGTGTAGCCACTAATCTTTCTTCTTTTTTTTTTCACTAGATTAGCATCACTCCACTCTAGGCAACTCGTGACAATAACAAGGTTTGCCATGATTGCAACCATTCTTGCTGCCAGAAGAAAGTTCACTACAGCTTAAACTGGAAGCGGCAACCTTTGTCATGCATAAATGCTTGCTTCCAAGGTATTAACTTCTCTTAATATCGACTTGTTTCGTTAGTGGGTATATTATTTGTATTTCATCAGATTTAAGGTTAATTTATTTCCGTTGTAATATTTTTATATCTTGGTGGTTTTTTTTTGTTACTGCATTTTTATAATTGTTGAGGATAAAACAGAAATTTTGGATGGCCTTGATACTATTCAAAAACAGATTGATGCAAGGCAATTTAGATGGAAGGTTTATTTGGAATGATGTGTAAACTAACATTGAATCAGCTTTAACTGACTGAATTGAGAACCTGCAAAGAAACTTCACACAGCAAGGAGTATAAACGACCAGATGTCTTATGATTACATGCTCTGGTGATAGGATTTTATCAATGATATCTCGTACAAATCATAGTACTTCAGAGTGCACTTCTTCTACAAAACACGAGACCCTAATAATTCCAAGCTATATTCACTTTCAAAAGACATTGTTTCACTTTCATAAGGCATTGTTTCACTTTTTTCTTTTACACCAACAAATGATTCTGAACAGAAACTCTTCCCATCTTTTCCAGAAACTTCTGCAATGGCACTCAGATACTCAGGGCCGGCCCAACTGTATTCAACGCCTAAAGCCTAGCAAAAAAAATTTAGTCCATTATTTTAAAAAATTCTTAAATAAGCACTATCAAGAGTCAAATCCAGGACCAGAAGATTATAGTTTGCAATTTCTAAAAATTGATGCCCTAACTTTTATATATAATTTTGACGGCTTTATCCGGTTTAGTCCAGGGCCAGTCCTGTATATACTATTCAGGAACGAACAACTTTCTTTTGGGTTTGGAAATATGAACATTTGCAATTTTGTACTATGTCGTGTCTGCTATCTCCTTCTTATGCTCCAGCTTATACAAGGATCTTAGGGCGGATAAGATCTGCACCCTTACCACGTTCTTTGTCATTTGCATAATTTCCATTCTTTCCAGTACTGTATGAAAAACCATATATGTGTTTGAATCCGTCAGATCTTTTGGGTGCATTTATTGGTCAAAAAAGTCTCGATTGAATTCTAAAAACTTATACTGTATATTGATTTGTGTGATTTATTTACCTATAAATAGCTAAATTTATCATGATAAAAGTAAATTATGTTTAATTATTTCATTTTTAGGGGAAAATATCCATATCTGTTATCCCATCCGAAGGACAAGCAAATATAAATATATTAATTTCCTTTGAGAGGTTTATAGGTCTAAGGTCCAAAGACCACACAGCTATCAGTCGCTGAAATATGACTGAGAAATGGACCAACATGGAATCCATGTAGAAGCACAACATTCAAACGATGATAAATTGACCTTACCTTAAAAGCACAAACGGTGATACTCCATAACTATTGCGATCATAGAAGCACAAAATTCAAACGGTGATATATCCCGATTTATCTCAAAAATTGGATCAAAAATTGGATCGGAAATGGATCTTCCAATCATTAGTAAGAATATAGTCAGAGCCACTGGTTCTTCTTCTTCGTCCGACAATTCTAATTCTTACTAAGCACAGGTTCTTCTTTTTCTTCATTTACACCACAATGTTAAACAGAGCCACTGGTTTTCAGCTAGCTTCTTGCAACTGATTGATGGTGTAGCCACTAATCTTTCTTCTTCTTTTTTTCACTAGATTAGCATCACTCCACTCTAGGCAACTCGTGACAAAAACCAACCTAAATGTCCTCTATGCATTCTGTTTGTACGGGGACATGAACCTTTACATCTTTCATCCTCCGATTTCATGATTTGGTTCAATGTTTGGTTTTGGATGAAGTCACCGGCCTACTTCTATGTTAGAACTAAGTCGACATATCTCAGAGTGAATGGAGATTATCATAAAGAAAGCTAAAATGTCCCATACAAAGTATAAATATTTTTGACTTTTGAACACAAATCGAATGTTAATTAGGTTAATCTTTTTATTTCTTATTAAAAAAGAATTTGTGTATTATGACATTGAAAAAAAAAAATTTGGCAGAGATTGTAAAAACCAGCCAATTAATTATAAAACTTAGGCAATAAGAAGTAATAATATCTTAAACTCAAAAGTAATCGATCAGGGCTCGAGCCTGTGACGGTCACGAGGGAAGAGAGATGTTTTGCGGATGTTGTCGAGTGCACAAAAGAGCATCACAACTCGCTCTAGTCCCACTCCGAATCCACCGTGTGGAGGTATACCATACCTATAAACATTATTTGTAGCCAATATGAGAACAAACTCATCAGATAAAACCAATTCTTAATATATATATATATATATATATATATATATATATATATATATATATATATATGGTCCAGTTTGTAAATTTTAACCTGAATGATTTGAAGTATGAGGATATTGACTCCACATCAATGTTACATTCATCTATGCGTTCCTTCAATAATTCTGAGATATGGATACGTTGAGCTCCTGATATGATCTCCTCACCTTAGGACAAAACACCGCAAATTTAGTATCAAATGGTGTGGTCAGCATCGAAATTGGTACTCAAAAAATGTATGTAATGTACCTCTGAGGAAGACATCGAGGGAGTTGCTATAGCGAGGATCTTCTGCACAAGGCATGGTGTAGAATGGCCTAGCTGCAAGAGGAAATCGATGGAGTATGAAGAACTCAGTGATGTACCTGTTTCCATTAATTATCGAATATCATAGTGTTAGAACAACTTTGTAATTTGCAACACTTAGCAATGAAAATGATACAAAAAATAGGAATAGGTAAAAGTAGAGGATTACTTTTCCAAAACGAGCTGACCAAGTTTTCTCTCAGATTGTGTGTTTAGATCTCCAAAGGGATCAACCTCAAATCCAGCTTCCTGTCAACACACAAAACTATGATTGGATAGTCCATTTCAAATTATACTCAAAACAAAAGGCAAAATAGACTAAGTGATACCTTAAGCATTTGAACCCCTTCTGCAAAGGTTTGCCTCAATGTTCTTGGAAGAAACTGAAATTTAGTGCCAATTTATCAGAATCAAACAAAAGATACACAACAAAGAAAACTCTGTGTTTTATATTTTCTTGCTTCACTGGTTACCTTCAAAGGTTTAAATGGGTATTGCTTTCCGACAGATTCCAGTTATGTTTTGCACTTGTCATTTAAGCGAGTGAATATGAACAGAAACAACTCGTCCACAAGATCCATTATCTGCACAAACCAAGAAATATAAGCAGAATTAGACGTAGTAATTAGAGGATTAAAAATAGCATTTTCAACAGCTCACTAAATATTACCTCAGAATAGTTCGTGATCTCCATCTCCACATCAAGACTAGTGTATTCACTGAGGTGTCGATGAGTTGAAGATTTTTCTGCCCTGAAAACACAGCTTACCTCATAGACTCGCCGGAATCTGGCGGATATTGCCATTTGCTTATGAAGCTGCGGAGATTGAGCAAGACAAGCATCCTTCTCATAGTATCCAAGGCGAAATACAGCAGAACCTCCTTCACTACTACCACCTAAAATTCTCGGTGTGTCGATTCCAAGAAAATCCTTGGAGTCTAAGAACAATATGAATGCCTACATAATTGAAACTATACGTTCAGCAAAAACAACTTTATTCCAAACCAAATCATGGAAAAGTGATAATTACTATGAAGCAAAGTTGTAATTATTAGACACACCAGCCTAACATTATGAAACAATGCAAGCCCAAGTCTTTGGCCCATGTATTCTAGGGTTTCTAGCAAATTTAGATTCATATATATATATATATATATATATATATATATTGCTTTGTAGAAGAAGAAGACATCTTTTGAGAGTTGTGGCAAACTCTCTCTTCTTTATACTCTTTATCAATATTAAAACCTTGATCTTGAAGACAATTTAGAGTTCTTTCCCTCTTTTATTTTTATGCACAATAAAGCTCTATGAACTATTTACTTTTCTTAGTTTTCTATCACAATAAAGCTTGAATCTATCTTGTTTTGAAACTGCTTTCATGGAAAAGTGATACTTACTATGAAGCAAAGTTGAAACTATACGTTCAGCAAAAACAAATTTATTCCAAACCAAATCATGGAAAAGTGATACTTACTATGAAGCAAAGTTGTAATAACATTAATATTTTGACAAAGCCCTAATTCCTCTCTCCATGGAGGCATATATCAAAATCTTATACTAAAGATGGTATCAAGAGCTTACCACTCTAACTTTGTTTTGAATCCTGAAGATGGCTTGATTAGCCTGTGTTCTGAGGTCGATCACCCTATGGTCTAAACGTGTATCCTGATTGGCGCCAGGTTTCCCAGCCTAAAGCAATCATGGAAACAACAGCTCTTATGAATCATAAACCACCATTGAAGCATATCCAAATCTTAATTAAGTCATTATAAACGAGCTACCTTTACATCTTCTTCACTTCGGGCAGCATCCTCATTTCTTCCTTAAATCGATATTTCTTCTTAAATTAGTTGAGACAAGCTTATCCCAACACGATATCGCGAAAGATTACGTTGATTTTGTGAATACATACTCGTTATCCAAGTCTTCACAAAACTGTTGAATGCTTGATTTATGGACAACTAAAAAGTGTTCTTATGAAATAGAGATTTCAGAAATCAAATCGAAAGTTAAAAAAAAAAAAGCAAATAAAAAGGAAAACGAGAAAGGAAACCGTGGTCCACAAGGAAATATAAAACACACACATTGCGACTTCATCAATGGGCTTTTATATGGGCTGTAGAACTTTTTTCTTGAATAAAATTGGGCCTTATAGATTTTTTTCTAAAAAAAGTCTTATGTATACGCAATAAATACTCCGACATAAAAACTCGGCGACGGCGACGGCGACGGGAAAATTCTCTCTCTCTTTCTCTCTCTAATGGACTCTCTGGTAGCGAGCTACGCTTCGTCGGACGAAGAAGAAGAAGAAGAACGTCAACCACGTAAAGAATCATCCTTCGATCCTTCTTCTACTTCGTCGTCTTTGTTCTCGGCTATTCCTCAACCTAAATCATTCAGATCTTCCGAAGATGGGGATTTCGGTTCATCTTCTTCCACTCAAGGAAGGTCTTCTCCTTTTCTCTCCTCTCTCCCTCCTCCAAAATCCTCGATTTCTCGGCAGAAAAACTCCGCTCCGTCGTCGATTCCGGCGTTACCTAAACGTGTCGTTCAAATCCGGCTTCCGGTAAACCCTAGACCGAGCAGTATTGATGATGAAGAAGATGAAGAAGAGGAGAAAGCGAGGAAGAAGCGTAAGCAGATGGAATCTGCTGCGGCGTCTCACGATTCATCAGTGAAATCTTTCTTATCCGCCATGCCTGTGCCCAAGAGCTCGCAAACACTCGGCGCTCTTCCTTCATTGGGATCAGGATCAGGTCGAAGATCGAACCTCGAAACAGAAACTCCTGCAATTACTCAAATTGAATCAGGTTCTGATCAAAACCAGAGCTATTATGAATCGGTTAATCCTAGTAGCGAAGCGGATCAAATTGGTGGAGTAGATAACTATTATGCTGGTTACGAGCAGAACCCTAGTGGTGGTAGTGGAGATGCTTCTGGTTATGTGGGATACGATGGTAGTAGCTATGGAGCTAATACTTGGAACGGTGGTGGCTTTGAGGCAACAACGGGATTGCCTGAAGCGTTTGTAGCCATGGATAGTGGTGCAAGGAGAGGACGGAGAGGGAAGAACGATTTTCCAACAGAGATAGTTGAGGTTAAGCAAGATGAGCTCATGAAGAATAGGCCAAGAGCTGATCAGGTTAAATCTACTGGAATCGCCTTTGGACCTGCGTATCAGGTTTGTTTACCTTCTAAAACTCTTTCTTTACCCTTCCTTGAGAGATTTTTTTTTTTTGCTACAAGAACTTGGGAGGTTGTCTGTAGGGTCTGTACTTGTTCTAGCTCTGTTCGCTTAGACACTATGCTTGTCTTGGAGAGCTTTATTGGGTGATCATGTATTTGAGAAAAGGCCGTAATTTTAACCGCCAGAAGAAAATAGAATATGAGTTGCAAAATTATCTCCTCTTTTGAGCTTCCATTGTAAAGTTTCATGTGTGTCTTTGCTGGAAAACTTCTTAGTGAGATTTTTTTTTTTGCTGCAAGAACTCAGGAGTTGTCTGTGATTGCTTGATTTTGTGAATATAATTGCCTTTGTTTGTAGGAGACTTTCATAAGAGAGAGCTTTATTGGTTGATGAGTATTTGAGAAAATTCGGAAGTTTAACTGATCAAAGAAAGTAAATAGACTAGGAGTTCTGAATTTATCTTCTGTATGTGTCTGCTATCGTCAAGTTTGTTCTTTCTTGCTGCAAAACTTCTTTGTTGGGGATTTTTAGGAGGATAAGAACTACTTGATTTCATGCCAAACTTTGAATTTTTTTTTTTTTTTTGCATTGCCTTTTAAATGTTGTCTTGTTCACATTTGTCTTGCAGCCTGCATCATCTTCATCTAAGGGGAAAGTGTCAAAGCTTCACAAGAGGAAGCATCAGATCACTGCGTTATTCATGGACATGAAGCACAAGGAGACGGAGTTAGCAGAGAGACGTTCAAGAGGATTGCTCACAAAAGCCGAGACACAAGCAAAATACGGATGGTGATTTGCTCTCTTGTTTCTCTCAATTTGTGAAATTGGCAACAGATTTCCTGTAACTCTCTTTCTTTCTTTTTTTGTCCTTTTACTATCTTCCAAGATCCAAAGCTTTAAATGTAATACTCATTTCTTATATGAATGAATCTACTCTCAGCAGAATGCTTTGATTGACCCACAAGCTCTTTCTAGGCTTTCTCGCTTTGAAAATGATTATCAGATTTAACCCAGAACCTGTCCCTGAATACAAAAGATCTATTCACTACTCCTGCTTTGGGGAGATAACAAAAACCTGAAGTTCGGCAAGCAGTAACAAAAACTCATTTGCGTTTGATAAGATTTCCTGAACTACCTTTCTAGTTTCTACTCTACTTTCTAGGGTCTCTGATCCAAAAGCACATGCAGTTGATGTGGCCAAGCTTGTGTTCACTAACATTTTCATTTGTTATGTGATCTGCTTCGACCCTTTGGTCCTATCTTTCGACTTTTGGCGTCTGAACGAGGTCTAAGCTGCAGAGGAAAGCAACCATTCAGTTTTAGATCTATCTATAATATAGGAAATATATCAAATATAAAGGGTAAGATAAAGAATGCAATGGGAAAGACAACAAACCATCTTAATGTACTTGAGTTGCTTCAGGATCTCAGTTGTCTCCAGTTCCTGAGTAAACGAACAGAAGATTTTAAGTATTAACTTTTGATGATTTCGTTCAGAGTATGTAAAAATCTGTCTTAAAAATCCAAATGACATGTTCATGGGGAAAGATGAAGCAAGACTGCTTAGGCTCTCACATCTACTAACTTTTCACTCTTGTAAGGATTATTTTTGAGGAAAACAAGATATAAGAGTAGTTGATGAGAGAGTTTCGGACCTGTGGAACGGCACAATCGGCATGCGACGGATCCCAAAAGACGCAGCAGAAGCATTCCCAGTCTTTAGTCTGTATCTCTGATCGAGGCGCCCTGTGTATATCCAGTCAAATGAAGCATATTGAGTTATTCAATGTTACAACAATGGTTGAGTTATAGATACGAGACAATGACGAAGATATTAAATGACAATAGATAGCTAGATAGATAAAAGAAGAGAGCATGAGCCAAGAAATGGAACACGCTGGATAGTTCACGCTACCTACGCCACTTTCCGCATATATCTCCGTTACTATCCTCCTCTCTGCATTGGAGCCAATTTACTGAAGAACGTGGTTTCTTACCATTCTTAGGCTTCTTGAGATCCTGCAAAGAGAGAGAAATAGCAACTCCCTGAAATCCAGCGAACTATATGGCAACGTAAAACACATTGTTATCCACTAAATTAGGAGCTTACGTGCATATATTCTGACTGATCAATTTCCAAGGGTTCACCAACAAAAGAAGTATCACTGCATTGAGATCAACCAGCCAAACAAAGGCCACTCATTTTGGTGAAAGAAACAACACTCATCTACCAGTAGACATATTCGATATCACAATCAGAAATTCAAAAGACTGTTGATTGTTGAAGTGCATACCTTATGGTTGGACCTGACCAGTCTGGAACATCTGCTTGAAACTGTTTCCCTATTCGAATTCCTATTACAAATGGTTCTCTAACTCTCCATTTCCGTTTCCGTGAAATTTTACCCCTGACCTTGGTCTTTGATGACTTCTCTTTCGAACAGGATGGACAGACCCAGTCATCAATCTTTTCAACTTCTTTCATTCGAAGACCACAGCAGCTTGTATGATATGCTTCTTCACATTCATCACAAATTAGCATCTTTTCGACAGTTACTGGTTTATCACAATGTTTGCACTGTCTGAAAGGGCTGCTACTACCGTCTGTATCTGTCTCAGACACCTCCGCATCAGTGGAATTGCAATCTGCAGCTTCATCTTCCCCAGTTTCACTGGAACCTGAAGCAAGTTCAGAACTGGATTTCAATGATGAGCAACTGTCATTTGTTCCATCAGAAGAACATGTCACTTCGGTAACTTGGGTATCGTCTGTACGTTCTAGAGCACTGCACACTTGTTCAACATGAGAAGTATTATTTGCATACTTCCCAGACACTGAAAGAGCATGAGAACTGCCTCTAGATTTCAATTTGGGCTTCTTTCGGCTATACACTAGAACGCCATTAACCCGAGCACCAATAGAATTCCCTCTCTGCTTCCTCCGGCTATACATAAGCACGACATCAGATCTATCACCATTTCTCCTGGTTTCCCTAATACGACTTTCAGTAAAACTGCCATTAGTTTTCACTAACTTCTTGCTTTTGGCTGTAAAAGCACCATCAGACTTAACTATCTGCTCCCTTTGGCTATATGCAGAAGAGTCACACCGATCACCGCTTATCTTGGTTCCTCCAGAGACATGTTCGCTAAAACTGCAACTATTAAATGTTGTTCTAGCTTTCTTTCTCCTATACACAAGACAATTATCTAATCGGTTGCCTCTTCTCTTGGTTTCTCCATAGTCATGCTCAGAGAGAAACGCATCATCAACTCCATCACCCTTTATCGTAGTTTCTTCAATAGAATTACAACTGGATTTCCCTCTCAATTTCTTTCGGGTGTAGACAAGACAGTTGTTGAAGCGATTTTTCCTTTTTGTGCTCTCTCCAGGGTTAGGTATTGGGACAATCGAGTCATCCTGTTTCTTGTTATTTTCTGGGTTAAGTTCTGCTCTACCCCCAGGACTCAAGCTCCTCTTCCTTCGACTATACACAAAAGAAGTCAGGGACTTTTCTGTTACCTTATGCATAACAGATTGCTCTGGACAACTTACTTGAAGTTTTTGATGTTTTGATTCATCCAGATTCATTGCATCAGGGACTGGAACATCTTCAAGAAAGCTTACTTGAGATTGCTCGGGAAATTTGTGGATCATCTGACAAGTTTCAGACACCCAATCATATGCAGCAAACGGATCTTGATACTCAGATACGTTCAGTAAACTAGTTTCAACGGAAGAGCTGAATGAACTTTCCACCAACATATTTGCCTGAGAAACCCAAAAAGTATCTGAAAGCACATCACTTCTCTAAGTACCGGTGAATCTGTTGGTAAACTTCTTCATGTAGGTTCTCCGGAATCCCATATCCTTCTGATCCCCTAAATGTCGAAAACAAAACATGGAATAGAGTCAATATGCAAGAAAACAAAGTCCGTGAAAACAATAAGTTCTCCTATGATTACTAACTTGGATCAATCTCACAGTAGATTAAATTTAGTCCAACACATTGCTCTCATGATTCTTATTTGAATCATTTTTTGTGGTATTGAATTCTAAGCCCACACACATATTTCTGATCATCACTAATGTCACATGAGAAACCCAGTTGGTCCTTCTAGTGATAAAGTGCAAAACTATTCCACCCAGAAAAACCCTATCGCTAAGTTAGTTAGAAGTCCAGGGTGTTCTTGGATGCTATTCAAATCGAAACCCAGCATCCAAGTTTAAAAAACCACAAAGTTTCGGATCTAACTTGACTCAAATCTGGAAACCCATGCACTTTTGAATCTCTACCCCATGGATTCTGTACTTTGATTCAGGCTAAGCAAATCTATAACAAACATCTTTACATAAAACGATTATGCAGTAAACAAATTTCTCTTCTATGCTAAAATTCCAGTTGCAAATCTAAGCAATTTCTGTACAAAATTAATCTTTCAGTGATCCCTAACCTGAGAGAAATCCACAACAGACGATTCGTTGCTCTTATGAAACCCTAGGACACAATCAATGGGCACAAAACCATCGGAGACTAAACACCAAAAATTGGATTCCAGTAATGCACAAACGTTCATACGCCTCACAAATCACAGTCAAATCCAGTACAACAATAGCAACAACAACACCACAATGAGAGCGATACACAAACAAGTTTCATATAAGAAGAACACAAAAGCAATCGCATTTACCAGATGACTACGAAGAGACAAGAGCAACGCTTTTGGGATTCTCCGAGTTGTGGCGTTCTTCTGCACTTTGCCACACTCCTTCACTGACGCAAGCTATCGCTCCCTCTTTCTCTCTCTATCGCTCTCTCTCTCTCTCTCTCTCTCTGTCTCTCTATCTATCGCTCTCTCTCTCTCTGTGGCAAAAACAACTTTCTTTCTTTGATTTTCCTGTGGACTTTCTTCATATACAGCTTCAAAATCTGATTTATATAATTTCACCGCTCAGTTTTTTTTCTTGTGTAAAAAGGGTCTGTGTGTTTAATTTTCTTGCATTTTAATCCTTGAATCTGAACTATACCAGTAGAGAAAAAAATCACAGATTTCAATTTTCAAAAACAAAATTAAAAGCAGATAACAATGAATTACGCAAATTTTCTGTTTCTCTGGTACTTGTATATACATACATTACTGAACTGTACAAAGCTACATACATGTGTCCTTGGACTTGTTAATTTCAAGAGGATAGAACAAAACGAAACTCCATCTGATTCTGCAACATAACAATTTATCTCCAAGAAGCTCAAATATTTCTGCTATGGGAACATACAACTATTGTATCCTAAACAAGTAGACTTGCCTAAGCAATTCCCTGACTTTCTGAGCTCTAAATCTCAGCAGTATGTGCTTTAAGTCCACACAAGGCTTCTATGCTACCGCTTCAAAGTTGTCCTCCTCTTGACTCTGTGTCTCCTAGAGACTTGCATACAAGTTCAAGTACGCAATCATAAGTGGAAATAGCAAACTTTAAACCTGGATCATTGACAAAATGCGTGCAAAAACCAGCCCTGAACGCAACCAAAACCCGAATAATCCGCAACCTTGCTCTGCATTTTTTTGCACATTCATCATCGCCTTCCGCTGCCATTGTCTCCAAACTCACGAGGCTTCGCTTCCGTGAGATCAAATACTACTCCATGAGCCCAAAGTAAGAAACTTTAGTTCTGTTCAAAAGAATCTCCACATGTTAAGTCAATACTCTGAATCCTTACCGACAAAATTGGGCTCGTCCGTTCCATTTGCAGATCGCAGAGAATGAACGATAGCGTTATGTACAGCTGCAGTATGACTGAAAATGCAGTTCAACAAGTTACAGGATATACAGCTTCTGCGACTCCAATAAATGTAGCATCGAATGGGTTCAAGAAGGTTGTCTTGGTAAGCTGTTGAACTCTGTTTGGACCAACCGAGTGACTCAGGATATCAACAACTCCATCATAATCAGATTTGCTTTGTACAGTGAAATATAGGCACAACAATGAAATGGTCATACTCATCTAATCCCACACAGTGAAGGACATAGTTTTGTGTCGACCAAAAAGGAACAAGCTTTCACAATGAATACAGATAACACAGCTACAGTCCACTACAAGCCACCTAAGCTAATTACAATGCTCATGCACTAGTCTAACACAAGGTCTTAAAATTCGGATGTAGATAAAACTGATTGCAGAGAATTGCACTAGACCTTGTCTCTTCTTGGAAATTCCTCAAAGTCAAATATCCGAGCAGTCTCAATACTTCTTATTACACTTCGACAAGGATTAACAGTTCCAAGCTAAAATACATATATTAGGGACATGTTTAATACTCCAATTAATGGTTGATCATACGAGAAATAATAATATAGTGAATGTTAACCACTTCAAATCATGAATATCAAAGTATAAAGAAAAAAAAGCATTTCACCTTAAAGTAAGTCTTGAACAATTGGCAAGTGAAGTAAGTCTTTAACAATTGGCAAGTCACATATACTGCTTCGACTCGTTTTGAACCTTTACCCTATAGTTTAAAACTAATTAAGGAGCCAACAAGAAACTCAACACAAATGTAAAATTACCAAAGACAATTTCCTGAAGAGAGATAGACAAGGCAGCTTACAGCAAGAACTCCAAAAACTTTCATGAGAAGAGATCCAGCCGCTTTCAATTTCGCGGGCGATTTTCCGTTAGAGGTCAATTCTTTATCAGTCTGCATTGCGAACCAATCATGCTCTTAGAACTCAAAACTCGGAGATATGACACTAAACAATTTGGTTGAGTGATATAAACGTGAAAGACTACCTTTTCAGCAAGAACTCGAACATCATAACAAACTACATATAGAGCTTCCAATGCCTAAGCAGATTCTCAATTACGAAACTCTTGAATAAAAGCGCTGCACACATATCGAATCCACCAAATATCATACATTGTGAACACAAAAAAAGGAAGCTTATCTATTCTACAACAAGTAACAACCTGAAATCAAATTACACATCAATGGAGCAGAGCTGAACAAGAAACTTTACTTGGCAAATTTCTCCAAAACAAGGTAATCTTCAACTAGATTCCCAACCCGGTAACTTTGTAGAGAACGAAACAAATGAGTTAGGATCTCGCCGTTTTCAAAATTTATCAGTTTGTCTTATCAAACTGCTAGCACGCTGCATCATTCAAAGAGTAAAATTCACTGGATTCAGCTTTTTTGAAGCTCTCCATCATAAGAATCTCGCTAACTTGACAAAATACATTCTCAGACATCCTGCAAAATAAGGAAGACTCGCCAAATTATTCAATCCTCTCCAGTAAACATATAAACTCAAACATATACAGAGAGTGAGTTTATCATCACAATTTTATCATACAATTTCAAGCCCTTATCTTAAAATCATACTCATTAAACTCAAGCATAGACAGAAAGTTTTACCTACAACAACTTTCTCACAGACAGTCTAAGGCCCTAAATTAAAAATTCACTCATTGGTAAGGAGGATGACTCATTAGATTACACAGATAAAACGTAGTCAAATAAAAAAGCTTTAAATGTTATCATCTGTCTAGATTAAGTCACACCATACTAATACATTGTTTGATTAACACTACAGTAATTGACTTCTTGAAGGGCAATGAGGAAAGAATCAAACTTCTTTTTTCACATTGGTGTTTTAGTTTCGCCCAAATTCTTGAATTGTTCTTGTGGCCAACGTAAGAACGTCTACAAACGCAGAGAACGATGCTCGAAGAAGCCTTGCCTCTATTGCTTCAAAGTGCCTGTAAAGTTATCCGGTGAGAAAATATCAAAACTAGTAAACAAGTAGGGCTTGTCTAATTGAAAACAGTCTTAATCGATTTAAGACTGATTAAACGAGGACTTTGAGAAAACTCACACAGAGAGCTTGTTGTTTGATACAGACATAACTCTTCTCACTTTATCAGGTTGCAACTGCAATAATGGTGAAACAGATAAAGTTCTCTTAACATAAGCGAGATGGAAAAAAAAAAGATAAACTTTTGATGAAAATTAGAATTATTCATAAATTGGAAGTGAATTGGGAAATTTTAAACCTCTTTATCAACAGACAATGCTGTGTAAGCAATCAAAGCATGTTCTTCAGATTCAAAATTCACATCCAAGTTACTGCAAGTTGACAAAAACGAAAAACTCTGTAACATCAAAGATCGAAACTTTGGAGTGTAGATAAGAATAAAATAAAAATTCTTCAAATGTGTCAGACCCTAGATTTCTAAAATCGAACCCGTATGTTCTATTATCAGACACAGAGCAAACACATTACGAACAACCGGAAACAAAGAGCCGAATCACTAAAAGGGAGCAGAACTGAAAAAAATCCCAAATCAGAGAAGATGATTTTAGAATCAAAAGTAAGATAATTTACTGAACATACCAGCTGAAATCCCAAGTTTGGTTAGAAGGAGCAACTGCATGAACAATCGCAGCCATTTTTTAGCTGCTTCCTTCCTTCGTTAATGGAGGTTTCGGCCTAAAAATTGAAACTTTTTTTTTTCCGACGGGAACAAACAAAAGAAACACAGAAGCAGGGTTTTGAGTGGGCTAGGCTAGCAAAATGGGCTTCTTGTTTATCGCCCCAATATATTTGTTCATGATTATATTTCGAAAGAGGTTTAGAGCATCCGCAATGCAGTCTCCACAAGCGTCTTTAGTAATTTTTTTTATTAAAAAAATGAATGCAGAAGAGAAACAAGCTGAAGACGTTTCTTAAATAAAGACTGGTAAAAACGTTTTTTTTTTGACACGTGGCACTTTTAATATTAAACAAATAAATAAGAGATTAAAGTAAATTTCTGCGTTGCGGATCACGTTAACTTCAAAAGCAAGTGCTGATTTCTCCATCTATATACTAACTAACTAATTAACGAAAGATACATTGAGTAATGAGAGATCAACAAGAAAGAGGAGATGCTGATGATCATTACTCATCAAAAGACTAATCGTTCGATTCAAATCTATGGATGTCAAAAAATTCTACGAACATTCAAAAAAATTTGATTTAATATAGTGTCGTCTCATCTTGTTCTTGTAATGTTTTCGAAACGAACTTTTTGATAACATCACATACTGATGATGCTGTGCAGACAAATTCCACAAGTCAAGATACGATTAGACTTTTCGGTTTTCTTCTCCTTCTAATTAAGTGTACTCTCAGTTACTAAACATAAAATAATAAGCTTTTGAACAAAACTCTTGTTCTTCTAACTTATTTTCCAAGTATTTTACGGAATTTGCAGCGAGTATTCACTTAATTCAAATTTTAGTACCTAAGCACCGTGACATATCGCAAGTTAATTAAAAATTCAAACCACATCAGAATTTACTCACAAGAAACACAAGCATAATAAGAAAAACTACTAACTCCTTTTAAGAAAAATAATGAAAATTAAGGAGGGTAGTGTTATATGTGTAGGCTAGAGATTTCGGTTTCTTCTTTACTATATATGTAGCCATGATCAGTCTGACGTTGAAAGGGAGATTGATGTTAACTTTGTTTATGTCACTTGCAGTTTCTTTATGTTATCCACAAACTCAGTTTGAAACTTTCACTGTCAATATTTATCATATGAAATCTATTTCTTTGGTTTTAAAATTTCAACAAAGCCCACTTGAAAATTTGTCAACCAACTGAGAAGTCGTTTGTGTGATATTAACAGAAAGAAACTCTTGGAATATCCCAAGTTGCCCTTTTGACTTAATATTTTTTTATTATTATTGTATTTGATTTCAAGAGATAGTGCTTCACCATCAGCCAACATGGCTATATAATAATAATCTTTAGAATCAAAGGTAGATGAGAATGAAACAAGTTTTTCAGAAGAGGGTGGTATCGAACTTTCTATGAGAAATTGCTGCTTTTTTCACTAATGGCGCGTTACAACTTTCTTCTGTTGATTTTATTCGCAAGCTTCTTTTCTGCTCTTGTTCTTCTTGTTCGTGCTCAAGACCAATCAGGTACACAAAAATCTTGCAAATGTATAACTATGGCTGCGTTTTCAAGGCTTTAAATCTCTACATGTGTGTTTATACTACAGGTTTTGTCAGTATAGATTGTGGTATACCTGAGGATTCAAGCTATAACGATGAAACAACAGACATAAAGTACATTTCAGATGCTGCATTTGTCGAGTCAGGGACAATTCATAGCATAGATCCTGAGTTTCAGACAAGTTCTCTGGAGAAGCAGTTCCAAAACGTTAGGAGCTTTCCTGAAGACAAGAGAAACTGTTACGATGTCCAGCCTCCAATGGGAAAAGGCTTCAAGTATTTGATCAGAACACGTTTCATGTACGGTAACTATGATAATCTCGGAAAAGCACCAGAGTTCGATCTATATCTTGGGGTCAATCTATGGGACTCCGTTAAAATAGACAATGCAACTACAATAGTAACCAAAGAGATCATACAAACTCTTCGTTCAGACCATGTTCATGTGTGTCTTGTTGATAAAGACAGAGGAACTCCATTCTTGTCTGCGTTAGAACTCAGGCTCTTGAAGAGTGATACATACGAGACTCCTTATGATTCATTGATTCTGTTTAAAAGATGGGATCTTGGTGGGCTCGGTAATCTTCCTGTCAGGTGAAAAATGAATACTTTCTTTATTTGTATTGTATCTTTGTGATAAATTCTGTTTTTTTTTTGGTCTTTCTTCTTAAAAGTTGGTAATAATGTAGGTACAAAGATGATGTTTTTGACCGGATATGGATACCTCTGAGGTTTCCAAAGTATACAATCTTTAATGCATCGCTCACGATAGATTCAAACAACAACAATGGATTCCAACCCGCTCGTTTTGTTATGAACACTGCAACTTCACCTGAGGATTCAAGCCAAGACATAATCCTTTATTGGGAACCACAAGATCCTACTTGGAAATACTATGTTTATATGCACTTTGCAGAAGTTGTGGAACTTCCAAGTAATGAGACAAGAGAATTCTCTGTTTTTCTAAACGAAAAGTCAATCAACATGACTGCCTTTAGCCCGCGCTACTTGTATACAGACACACTTTACGTTCAGAACCCTGTGAGCGCTCCAAGACTCGAGTTTCTTCTTAGACGTACTGATAGATCCACGCTTCCACCAATCATTAACGCCATTGAAACATATCGTATCAATGAGTTTCTTCAGTCACCTACTGATCAACAAGATGGTATAATTTCATTTTCTCAAAACAAAAACTTTAACCCTTTTCGTTATTAACTTCATACTTATCCATTTTTGGTTTAAATTCTAGTTCAAGCAATTATGATAATCAAGTCTAACTATGAAGTGAAGAAGAATTGGCTTGGAGATCCTTGTGCTCCCTATCCTTGGAACAATATCATCTGCAGCTACGTCGATAACGAGTCTCCAAGAATCGTTTCTGTGTATGCATTTCAACAAATGCTTATATCTGTTTTTTTTTTTCTCCCTCTTTCTCTGTTCTCACAAGAGTTGTGTGATTTGCAGGAATTTATCCTTCAGTGGCTTGACTGGTCAGATTGATCCAGCCTTCTCCAACCTTACCTCATTACAGAGACTGTCTGTATTTTCGATTCGATCTTGGAACTTTTGTACACATAGTTTTGGAATCTAAAACTGATGCAACCAAAAATTTCATTTCAGGGACTTATCAAACAACAGTTTAACAGGAAAAGTACCCGATTTCCTCGGAAATCTACATAATTTGACGGAGTTGTAAGTCTTGATTACACAAACAATGGTTTTAATAACCTGGAGAATTTATGTTGATTTCACCTATATGTCTGCAGAAACTTGGAAGGAAACAAGTTAATGGGTGTTCTTCCGGTGAAACTACTGGAGAGATCAAACAATAAATCGCTTTTGCTACGGTTGGTTCATGATTACCTTTGGCTTTTATGCACAATGCAGATGATCTGTACCTGATTGACCATTTGTATTTATGTTTTGCCCTTGGGCTCATGTTTTCATACTAATCTCTGCTCGTAAGAGTTGGCGGGAATCCAGACCTCTGTGTTTCTGCTTCATGTCAAAGTACGAATGAGAAGACAAAGAAGAATGTATACATCATTCCATTAGTAGCATCTGTCGCGGGAGTTCTAGGTCTTTTAATAGCAATAGCTTTGTTCTTGCTGTACAAGAAGAGACATCGAAGCGGTAGAAACATCAAGAAACTATATATCCTGAAATACTTGTTCTTACATTTCTAGGATTCCTTGTAAGAAAATTTTATTATGATATCTTTACAGGCGGCTCTAATAGTATTAGGAATGGGCCATTGGACACAACAAAAAGATACTACAAATACTCAGAAGTTGTGAAAGTCACAAACAACTTTGAAAGAGTTCTTGGGCAAGGAGGCTTTGGAAAAGTATACCATGGTGTCTTAAATGACGACCAAGTTGCTGTCAAGATTCTGTCTGAATCATCGGCTCAAGGTTACAAAGAGTTCAAAGCAGAGGTCAGATTTTTATATACTTTTACAGGTTTTGTCTCTATAAAGTGAGTTATGGAATGATATATTGGGAATATGCATCCACTTGATTATCATCAGGTCGAACTTCTCCTGAGAGTTCATCACAAGAACCTAACCGCGCTTATCGGATACTGCAACGAAGACAAGAAGATGGCGCTTATCTACGAGTTTATGGCTAATGGAACCTTGGGAGATTATTTGTCAGGTAAGTCTAGCTCTCTTCTACTTAGTTTGTTCTCTGGTCTTTTTCTCTAGCCAGAGGAAACTGAACCTACCTTTTGTTTTCTCTCCTAATCAAGGGAAAAAATCTTATGTCTTGAGCTGGGAAGAGAGGCTACAAATCTCATTAGATGCGGCACAAGGTTTGTAATAAATGGATCCTATAATTCAAGGTTGTGAAAATCAAATGAAACCAAAATATTCTTGTGCTTGTCTGAACCTCAGGGCTTGAGTATCTTCACAATGGTTGCAAGCCTCCCATTGTACAAAGAGATGTGAAGCCGGCTAATATACTAATCAACGAGAAGCTACAGGCCAAGATTGCTGATTTTGGGTTATCAAGAAGCGTTGCATTGGAGGGAACTAACCAGGATTCAACAGCCGTAGCTGGAACTATTGGTTATCTTGACCCTGAGTAAGTAAACAACTACTTTTACACTATGTTCTGGTATTAGCTGTTTACGGTTTCTGAGACATTGTTTGTACAAAATGAAGGTATCACTCGACACAGAAACTAAGCGAGAAGAGTGATGTTTACAGCTTCGGGGTGGTTCTTTTAGAGGTTGTCACGGGCCAACCGGTGATTTCACGTTCAACAACAACCGTAGAGAACAGACACATAACGGACCGGGTTGAGTTGCTTCTGTCCACAGGAGATATCAGAGGCATTTTGGATCCAAAGCTAGGAGAGAGGTTTGATGCTGGTTCGGCATGGAAGATCACTGAATTAGCAATGGCTTGTGCGTCTCGTAGCTCTAGAAACAGACCGACGATGAGTCAGGTAGTGTCTGAGCTAAAGGAGAGTGTAAGCTTAGCAAGAGCCGGTGGTGGTTCTGGTGACAGTAGGGTTACAGAGCCGGCGATGACGACTTTTAACTCGGGAATGTTTCCTCAGGCGAGGTAGATGATTGTTGAATCCATCTGAGTTTTTAATTTCCAGAAACTGGAAAGTTCTGTGTGGTGTGGACTGGAGTGTGATTAAGAAGAGAGAAAAAGAACAAGGTGGATGTTGTGTTTCCTTCGTCAGAAAATCGAAGTGTACAAGAAGTTTCATGTTTAAAAGGGTTTTTGTCATTTTCGCTGTTGATCTTTTGTGTTTGAAACTTGGGATTTCTACCAAAAATATTTTTACAGCTTAAAATGTAGAAATGTTAAAGACTGAACCTTTTAAAAACGCTTTAAGGAGCTATTGGTTCTAAATCACCATCACATAGAAGGAGATGGAGATCCATCCTTAGATCTTTCTAGCAGGTTCGCTGCATACTTTTTTCCTTCCATTTTTCTGCCGAAATAAACCCGCATCGTAAATTCAGTGATGGCCTCTTCTTTTCAATCTTCGCAGAGTAGAACAGAGCATAACAGAGTAGACTTGAAGCAACAAAACAGAGCATAGCATAACAGAGCAAAACAGAACACCTATATGAGTTCACAGAGAAACGACTCTTGTATTAGTATTGTTTGCACTTTGGATTCATTCAAGATCTTACCAAGAATAATCCTCAGGAACACATGGTTCATAGAGCGTATTAGAATTTTGAGACAAGAAACATTATGTTCTTTAATATATAGGATAACTTGTATTGTACGAAAAATTCTCATGGGATATTATGATAAGGATATGATTGATTTGGTATTATGACGATTGTGTAAATGTTAATTTAGGAAACAAGATTCGTACCTTTTCTCCTATATACGTAACTCGGATACACAATGAATAAATCAATAAACAGCAAAAAAACCTTCTCAAATTCTCTGATTATCGAAATGACTACAAACCTACAATCATTTGGTTAGATATTGCATGTTGGACATATTTCCTTCTATATTTATTTGCGAAACAATTGGGTCCAAAATCGTATGAACATACACTTGAGGAAAGTCTCCTTTTAGGTGACCCTTTAATACATTGACTTACTATAATAACGCATAGTTGCTAGTGACGAGTAAGATCTAACACGTCTTGGTCGCCTATCCTGATTTACGCAAAGTATTGTCAAGGCTAAGACCTTGACTCAAAGAAACTTAATTTCGTGAAAATACGAAGGGATCCGGTTGCCAAAATAAAGTTCATGTAAATCTTGGCAAGAAATGTTCGTTCTCGGAATAATAATTTCTCATTTTGTAAGTACTTAGGATATTGGTTAGAGTCGTTTAATCAATAAATTACATTAAGTGTTGTATGTGACACTAACAAAAAAATTAAAAAACTAAAGAATAAATTTTTAAGGGGTAAGCATTGACATGATATCCTGGTCCAAAATTTGCATAAACCCTAATCTTAGAAGATGCTTCGTTGACCAATCATATATATCAGAGTCTTATTGACCATGTTATTTAATATAAACCGACATGATTTTACAATAAATCTAAATGAAAATGAGTTTTGAAGTATCTTATTATGACGCATAATTAGTCGTCCTTTACTTATACAAGCTCTCATTACATCAACGATAGAGCAGCTTAGTCCAAGAGAAAGCAATCCAATCAAGTAAACGGTGATGTTAAGCTCTGTTTCTTTCACAAGCTTTGCTCTTCTACTCTTTCTTGTTCATGCTCAAGACCAATCAGGTAACTTAAAACTCTCTTTGCTCTGTTTAAATTATTCAGATGCTTGTACATATGATTATAATCTTCTTACATGAGTGTTTACAGGTTTTATAAGTATAGATTGTGGGATACCGGATGATTCTAGCTACAACGATGAGACTACAGGTATAAAGTATGTTTCAGATTCGGCGTTTGTTGATTCAGGAACAAGAAAGAGCGTAGCAGCTCAGTTTCAGAAAATTGGTTTTGATAGACACTTGTTGAACTTGAGGAGTTTCCCTGAAGGCAAAAGAAACTGTTACCATGTTCAGACTCCGAGAGGCAAAGGTTTCAAGTATCTGATCAGGACCCGTTTCATGTACGGTAACTACGATGGACAAGGAGGAGCTCCCGAGTTCGATCTCTATCTTGGAGTCAATTTCTGGGACTCTGTTAAACTCGACAATGCAACAACTATACTCAACAAAGAGATGATCACCATTCCACTTACAGACCATGTTCAAGTGTGTGTTGTTGATAAAAACACAGGAACTCCATTCTTGTCTGTCTTGGAGATACGAGGTTTGTTGAACACCACTTATGAGACTTCTTATGATGCACTTAGGCTTGAACGAAGATTGGATTATGGCTCAATCAGCGATCTTCCATTCAGGTAAACCATGATTAGAAACTTAAGATCATTTCAAAATTCAAGCAGAAACTTTTGTCTCTGCTTTTCATGTTTCTCTTTTTTTTTTTTTTTTTTTTTTATGTCCGAAGGTAAATCCCAGGCCATTCGGGCTCATGGTTCAGACTAATCCCCTTAGCCCCAACATCCTTTTTATGTAAACCCAATAGCAATCCATATGGTTGAATCCAAGAGTTAATGTGATAATTTCGCATCTAGGGATATTCGAACTATGGCTTATATCCACATAGCTGAATCTTCCACTACAAGGGAACCACCCCACTACAATTTCTTGGTTAGCATTTCATGTTTCTCACACACATACTTAAACTTGTGTAGGTACAAAGATGACATCTACGACCGAATATGGACACCTCGTTCATTTTCTAGTCCACTTTCTGAATTCAAGACAGTAAATACATCTCTCACCGTCGATCAAGGTTTCCACAATGGCTACCAACCAGCTCCTACGGTCATGAGCACTGCAGCAACACCGCGAAACGAGAGCCAGTCCATGTTGCTTGTTCTTAAACCTCTCGACCCTAACGCAAAGTTTTATGCATACATGCACTTCGCTGAAATTGAAGAATTTAAAAACAACTTGACCAGACAGTTCGACGTTTGGGTAGACAATACAGTACTCTCTCGCTTCTTTAAGCCTAGGTACTTGTTCACCGATACAGTCTCTACACCCGAACCTGTGAGCGGAGCTAGCCTTAACTTCTCTTTATACCAACCCACTAGCGATCTTGGTGGCTTTGTCCTTCCACCGATCATTAACGCCCTTGAGATCTATCAAGCCATTGAGTTCCTTCAGATCCCAACTGATCCACTAGATGGTAGTTTAAGGCTTTGTATGGTACAAAGTTTCCCTCCTCCAAGTTTTCTTTTTTGTTTGATTTTGTTCTATATATTTGCTTTAGTGGATGCCATGAGGAAGATCAAAAACAGATATAGAGTGGAGAAGAACTGGCAAGGAGATCCATGTGTTCCTGTGGAATATTCTTGGGAAGGTGTTGAGTGTATCCAAAATGATAACAGTACCAATCCAAGAGTCGTTTCTCTGTAAGTTAGTGTTAAACTTAGATATGTGTTCTGTTGTTGTGTTCGTTTCTCTGCTTTGTGCGGTTTTGCTTTGGCTTGCTGTTTTCTATTATGCTCTGCTCTGTTTTGCTCTGTTCTGTTCACTCTGCTTTGTTCGGCTGTGCTCTGTCTTTCTATGTTCTGTTATGCTCTGCTCTTTCTTGCTTTGTTATATTCTTCTCTGCGCTTTTTTTGCTGTGTTCTATTATGATCTGCTCTGTTTTGATGTGTTCTTTTCTAGTTTCTACTCTGTTTTGTTCAGCTGTGCTCTGCTCTGTTATACTCTGTTTCTTTCGTAAAGATATCTATTTGGTATTTCTAGGAACATATCTTTCAGTGAATTAGCAGGCCAGATCGATCCAGCCTTCTCCAACCTTACATCTCTTAAAAAATTGTCGGTATTTTTTATTGGTTCTACATTTAATTACTATTGATGATCTATGTTGTATACAAAGTTGATAATCCTTACTAACACAATCAAATTTCATTACAGAGATATATCAAGTAACAGTTTAACAGGAAATATACCTGATTTCTTCACTAACTTACCAAATTTGACTGAATTGTAAGTCATTTCAACTAGTCCAAATACGGGTTACAAAGCAAAGAACGTCTTTGAATTGACGAGTTAATTCGGCTTTATATCGGCAGGAACTTGGAAGGTAACAAGTTAACAGGCATAATTCCAGCTAAACTTCTTGAAAGATCAAAGGATGGATCTCTTTCCTTAAGGTTTGCAACTCGATAATTTTTTATTTTCTGTTTACTTCTTCCTATGTGAAGTTGATTTAGAAAGCTTTGAAAATATTCATTCCTAACATTTCTACATTGTAACTTTAAAGATTTGGTAGAAATCCGAAACTTTGTCTCTCTGCTTCATGTCAAAACATAAAGAAGAAGAAGAATGGACAAATCATTCTATTAGTAGCACTAATCATAGGAATCGTCATCGCTCTTTTGACGGCAATAGCTCTTTTCTGGCATTTCAAGAAAAGAAAACAAAGAGGTACGATCTTGAAAACAACATTTTTTTCCTATAAAGACTCGTTATTAAACGAAACACTTATAGGTGCAGTTGGTGTGAGGAATGGACCGTTGGAAACAGCGAAGAGATACTTCAAATACTCAAAAGTTGTGAATATCACAAATAACTTCGAGAGAGTTCTTGGCAAAGGAGGTTTCGGGAAAGTTTACTATGGTGTCATAAATGGTGAACAAGTTGCAGTCAAGATACTGTCTGAAGAATCAGCTCAAGGTTACAAAGAGTTTCGAGCAGAGGTTACTTTTCTTACATTTTCAAAGACTTAATTTTTCCAATTTTTTTTCACTTCACTAAACCTAGTTGAGATTCTCAGGTTGAAATTCTGATGAGGGTTCATCACACAAACCTGACTTCCCTTGTGGGATATTGCAACGAAGGAAACCATATTGCGCTTATATACGAGTATATGGCTAATGAGAACTTAGGAGACTACTTGGCAGGTTAGTTAATATGTCTACTTTGTTCACTACACTCATATGTATTGAGAGAGGAACTTTGGTTTAATTTCGTTTTATCAAAGGCAAAAGGTCATTTATCTTGAGCTGGGAAGAGAGGTTGAAGATATCATTAGATGCAGCTCAAGGTTCGGGAAATCTCATCTCAAAATGACAATTAACTAAACACAAGATGCTAAAAATGAAATCAATGAAGTTTGTGTTTTTCTTTTTGTCTATGAAAAACATTCAGGGCTAGAGTATCTTCACTATGGTTGTAATCCCCCTATAGTTCACAGAGATGTGAAGCCGACAAACATCTTACTAGATGAGAAGCTACAAGCCAAGATAGCAGACTTTGGTTTATCTAGAAGCTTCCCTGTTGAAGGAAGTGGTCAGGTTACAACAGTTGTTGCTGGAACCATCGGTTACCTTGATCCAGAGTAAGTAATCAAGATCTTATAGTCTTTTTCTTGAAATGTCTCAACACAAAAATTTAAAAGACATAAAGCTCTTTATGTTCTTGAAATGGGCAGGTACTATTCGACACGCCAAATGAGCGAGAAGAGTGATGTTTATAGCTTCGGAGTTGTTCTTCTTGAAGTGATTACAGGCCAACCTGTAATTGCATCTTTAAGAGCAGAGAATAGACATATAAGTGATCATGTCAACTCAATGTTAGCCAAAGGAGACATCAAAGGGATTGTGGATCAGCGTCTAGGAGAGAAATTCAATGCTGGCTCGGCTTGGAGAATTTCGGAAATAGCTTTGGCTTGTACAGAGCAGCGTTCTGCGCAGAGGCCAACAATGATTCAGGTCGTTATGGAGCTGAAACAGATTGTTTTTGGTAGAGAGACTGATCAGGAAAACCATGGTGACTCGACAAAGTTGATTACTGTGAACCTGAACTCCGAAGAGGCTCCTCAAGCACGGTAGTGATATCTCCAGATTGATGAAACTCTTTGTTTCCATTTTATTTTGTACCTCAATAAAAACATTTTTTTTGTTACTCGGAAATGTTTGCTGAGTAACATGTATGCCAAAACACATAATCTTCTCTTAGGTCAAGTATCAAAGGGATATAATACTTATTGTTGTTTTCAATTTCTCTTGGTCATCTACTAATGTGTTTTTGTGCTGTTCCCAAATTATTGTCAGAGTCTATGATAATTTTACATACTGCCGACCCTGAACTGCATATTTTTTGCATGGGCCGCAAGCTATAGAACAAAAAATTGGCTGTTTTACATATTTTTTTCAAAAAATTGGCTGTTTTATCTTTAAAAATTTTCATGTAAACATAGGGGCCGCAAGCCCATGCTTGATTTGCTTGGGCTCAATGCCGGCTCACACTATTCTCCTATACTTCGATGCCACTCCTATGATAACTGTGAGAGTTTTGTAAGAGTAAACGACAGCTAATCTTACGTAAAAGAAAACTTCAACTCTTTTCATTTTACATTTTAGTATATAACCATGCATGTTTATATCAAATCATAAGGTCAGTCTTGTATATTCTTTGGTTTGATTCTTGATGTTGTGAAAGAAAGAATCTTGGACTGTATCTTTTGGCACATATAATTATATTTACTTCATGTTTTTATTGAGACACAAATCAAATAAGAGTTGTTCTTCATCACTCAGTAAAATCATCTACCTTGCTTGAGGAATCATTTCGGAATTCAGATTCACTGTAACCATCTTTGTTGAGCCACCCTGGTTTTCCTGATAGTTCACTCTGCCACCAACAATACCTGTTTCAGCTCCATAACGACCTGACTCATCGTTGGCCTCTGTGTAGATCTCTGCTCGGTACAAGCCAAAGTTATTTCTGACATTTTCCAAGCCGAGCCAGCGTCATATCTCTCTCTCAGACGCTGATTCACAGTCCATGTCTCCATTGGATAACACTGATCTGACCTGATCACTTATATGCCTCTTCTCTGTTCTTGAAAAACATCACTCTTCTCAGAAACAGAGACATAAGAGAGTAGACTTATACTAGAGTCATAAACAGAGGAGAACAAAGGTTACGATCATATTTTTTTTCTGGGTAATAAAAGAAACGTCCAGTGTTTGCTACTGTTTATTGTAGTGCAGATTCTTATCAATCAAAGTGATGACATATGTAAAGTTCATCTGAGGTTGATCTAAAGTACCATTCACGATGAAACCTTGAAGGAAACGTAACAATCCATGGAAAGCAACAAACAGAGATTGGAGGAAACAAGCATAACAGGCGAAAAAATGGTAGTATTGAGTTTAGAAAGATTACTGTAATGGTTATATTACTTTATAGCATCACGATGAACTCTGTCTAAAAAGTGGAAGAAGCCACCAAGCTAATTCAAACTTTATAAAAATATATAGTCAACAAAGACGTTTAAGTCAGCCAAAGATCATATAATATAGCTTCCCATGGTTTGCAACCGTATATACAACTGCCTCAATTTCAGTCATTATCAGCATATGCAAACAACGCATCAGGAATGGGTTTGATTTCTTTTTTAAGGTAGATGCGATGCTTCTAACTGCCCGCGAGCTGGGAATGCTTCACTCTTCATCGTCTGAGTCTCCATGTTTAAATGAGTAAATTGGATCTGGAAAATGCGCTAGCTTGACTTCCAGCATCTCATTCCCCGGAATGTTCAACTCCATGCTAACTTCTACCTCTTTTGTAGATGAAGAATCGTGATCTACCATTTTAAAAGCAAGGAAAAACATGTGTTAGCACCATAGATATCACAAGAAACAACCACAATACATACAGTAAACAAAGAAGAGAATCATATCTATTGGAAAACAATACATATACAAAAGTCAGCTCCACTGCATTACACGTTCATTAGATAAGAACTCCAAAAGACAAAACATAACATTCTAAACGTATCACCCTAAAGATCTCATTTTTCAGGTCTTTTAAAGCTTGAAAGAGTTCAAAATTTTTGCTTTCTCCCAGAGTGATGGTTTTATAGAGACATGGAGGAAAGTCAAGGAGATTTTACCTCCCATGGCGGATGAAAATTTTTCTCAAAGGAACCATTTTTAGCATAGATATCACAAGAAACAACCACAATACATACAGTAAACAAAGAAGAGAATCATATTCATTGGAAAACAATACATACAGAGAATACAAAAATCAGCTACATAGCATTACATATTCATTAGATAAGAATTCCAAAAGACAAACCATAACATTCTAAACGTATCACCCCTAAAGATCTCATTTTTCAGGTCTTTTGAAGCTTGAAAGAATTCAAATTTTTTGCTTTCTCCCAGAGTGATGGTTTTATAGAGACATGGAGGAAACTCAAGGAGATGTTACCCCCCATGGCGGAAGAATATTTAACTCAAAAGGAACCATTTTAACACGCAAAACCAAAAAACCAAGTGAGACCCATAATCTAACTGAGACGATTAACCATCAAAGGAAGGTAATTTACGGATTTTATGTCCAATTTCAGGGAAAATGAAACTGAAAAATCTCAGCAAATACCTGGAGGAATGAAAAAAGAGGAACAAGGGCAGCCATTAGGAGAATATAGAGAGAGAGATTCCTCCTCCGTCAACGGATTCGTAACCTTGTCGACCAAATTAGCGATCTTCGCGGCCGTGTTCTGATGCGGCGGGACCCAGAAGGAGGAGCCAGGTGCGAAAGGGAGCCAATCTGGAGTCGAATTCTGAACGATGATCCTCCTAACGAATTCGTTCAGCTTCTTGAGAATCGCGGCTTCGGCTTCGGCTTTAGAAGTCGCCGATGAGGATGAATCGAGGTCAATCTCGATGAGCTGAGGCTTAGAAGAAAACGGCCGGCGGCTGAAACAGACGACGTTTGGCGCCGCGATCGCCGGCTCGTTGAAACGACGGAGAAACAATCTCCCGTGGGGGATTAGGGTTTTTGTCAGTAATCGGGACATTCTTAGAGAGAGAAGTTAGAGAGAGAAAGCGGCTTTTTCGAACATTAATAAACGATGACAGAGTTGAGGCGGTATCACGTGTGTGTGCAACTGAAACGGGTACGAAAAGGATCCGAGTTCGTGAGATCCGACCCGTATATAGAATTAAGAAAAAAAAAAGAATTGGACTTGAAATGGGCCGACTAATTAATCTGGTGGCTCTCTCAAGTTTAGAAGTGAGGAATAATCTTTTTCTTGGTAGAAGCGATCTGCAGGATCATATTTTTCCAAAATGTTTTGGAACTATGCTCGTGTATGTGTTATATACATACACACATTAACTATACGTAGATGCACACGTGAATATGGAAGTTGTGAGTCCATATGTCGTAACGTGTTGTTTATATTAGGCACGTGAATATAAGTCATTTCATATACATGAAATACATTTCATCTATCAACTATATTTCATTAATACACTGTTTATATTAGTTTTTATCAAGACGAAATTAGATACTCGAATGGAACATTAATTTTTCTGTTCCAATCATATAATGATTCTCCGAGCCAAATAAAACCAAACTACGCCACACAAACCATCCATATACCAAAGTTTTTGGTCCTAATTTTTTTTATTTTTTTGGTCGACAGTTTTTGGTCCTTATTAGAACTATTAATTAAATTAAAACAGATATTATATGTGTAAAAGGTAATAGATACACAATATATGCATATAAAGTGATCATTGGTCAGGTTAGCACAAGGCAAATCTTGAAAGCAAAAGGACTGTACAACACGCTTTTGTGATTGTAGCGGTTGGAACGGCCTAAGCGGTTGATGGTCCCAACAACTTCTAGTGACACAAACCTTTAGGAAAAAAAAGATTAGCCTTTCGAATTATGAGGCTTATATATACAAATTTTAATCATATTTACTTACATATATAGGAATGGACTCTGTTGGAGATAAATTCAATCATTTTTACGTGGACAAATCGCGTGCTTGCATATAGCGTTTATGGCTTTTTTGCAATTACGGCTTCATGGACCAAATTAGGACACGTATTGGGTCTAAGCTTATAGTATCGGATCTCGAATCCATTCGAATTTGGAAGATTCGGCACGATAAACCACTTGTTCCTGGACTCCTCGTGTCTGACAGTGCAAGCCACGCTGTTAGAAACAAAAAAGTCAAAAACCGAGTAGTCAAGAGGAGGAGAGACCACATTCTTTATGTCCTAGACCTAAGCTCGGTGATCTGGATGGATCGGGATATAAAGAAGTATGGCCAATACAGGTACCCAAGAACAAAGTCATCCATTCTCGGCAATCTAATCCCAATATCTAGGAAACCGGACCAGGTATGGTAGAATTTTGAGGTAGGAACACCGTTCAAATTTCTCCATTCGACAATAGAAATATATCTTAATCTGATTTGATTATCCATATCCTTACAAACCCACAAGATTGACATTTAATGCATTTTCCTTACGTGTGTCAGGCGATAGTAACCTTTCGCAGGAAGCAGGACGCGCCAATGAACGGTCTCACAGCAGGCACAACAAACCAAAGAAAGTTGGTGAGACCGTCAAAAGCATGACGTCATCGCAAGATTCGGACCCAGTCAAGTCGGATCATGGGCCGACCCACTCGACTCACTATCAGCGGATCAACCCGATATACTAACCTGGGTCAGGTAACTCCCTATAATACTTTATCCTTTCCCACGAGAAAGGGATTCACACTTTTCAATTATCTTAAGTCTCACGATATCTCTCTAGATACTTGTGGTTCTTAAGTTTAGACACTCTACATTTTCCGACTGTATTCTCCGGTCATTTCTCTTCATTTCTACTCCACGGCGGTTCTTAAGCCGTGAAGTATTTTACTTATAAACTCTTCTTTTTTTCTCTTTTCACTGAAAAGCTCATTTCCTCCCAAAAACCCGAGCACATTCTACGTTTTCAAGGACTCTCGGTCCATTTTCTTCCACTTGTTTTTAACTTTTTCTGTTTTTTATTAACCATTTGGTGGTTTTTGAGCTGTTTTATGACTTGAAAGTCTAGAGCTTTTGGAAAATACACTTCCATCATATTTTTCGAACCTTCACATTTTCTTTGTTTTACAGGATATTTGCTCCTGTTCGAGGAAAAAAAAATCCCTCCTCTTATGATCATACGTGCATACTTAGTATTTTCCGAGGGTATAGTGAACTTTTTCATAAGTGAAACACATTGCTTCAGAATCACATTTGAGGATTATGCTTTCTCTTTTAGATATCTTGACGCTTAAGGGAAATTGTCTTTTCTTTTACATGATTTCGTCTAAATAGGCAATGTTATGAGGTTTTTTTTTTTTCTGTTGTCAACTGGTTTTTAAATTTTTGATGTAAAAATTGCACAATTCGAAGAAGAAGTGTTTACAAAAATAACATCATCAACAAATATAGTTTTAGTTGTACCGTTGTACGTATGGACTAAACATCATGCCTTGAAATTTAAATTAAATAGCCAGGGACTGGAGAAAGCAAAAATAATTGAAAATATTTTAGAGCAAACCGAACACATCTAAGAGGTTAAGCGAACGAAATGCAACATCTTAACTAGAATTTTACGCAGTTCGATCATTTCAATGTCTTGACAATCTATGCTACGTGAAAAGATATCTAACGGTCAATATCAACGCTTCAGTCTCCAAATATATATAGTGACGAGAGACTTTTTGTATTTGACATTGTAGCTCCCATGCATGAGTTTTGTATTAGGATGTCCAACTTGCGTTAGGATATTATTGGAATATATGTTATCGTTCCATATATTTTCGATAGATATTAATTAACCTTCTAGATCTTTCCGTTTGTGATCTCATCACTGTGCAAAAGAGTTATCCTCTTCACATCTTGATTTTCGAATAATTCTCTACTGCTGGTTTTATGAGTTGTGTTGGATGAATCGTAGCTTCCTTCCAAGCCTTACATTTACTTATGACATGCTTGTAGTTTTCTTTATACAATATATGGTCAAATACCTTATCATTCCTAGCTTTCCAAATTAACTATATAACTCATGAAAAAATAGGATCAGAACTTATTGGTTCTTAAAATAGAAAATTACAAGAAATTTGATATAATCCAGTGTTTAACTAAACTATACATGTATAATTCATAACTGGACATATAAACATCAATTGTTTTCGCGGTACACTATCATGTGAAACATATATTACAAAGTCTTTCTCAAAAAAAAAAAAACATATATTATAAAGTGTCACGAAAAGCAAAATTGCAACGATTGGGCTCATACAACATTTGTCTTTTTCTAACCGAAAGGTAATTCAAGGTCCCTTTCACAAAGATCAACCCATATTCTAAGGGGGAACAAAAAGAAAAGAAATAGCAAAGTACGTTAAAAAAAATAGTTAGTTAGTTAATAACCTAATAAAGACAGAACTTTAGTTAGTAGTAATATATAATACTTATTTTCCTATACTGATTTATATAAGCATTGCAGGGATGTAAACTCCTAGTAGTTTGTTCTACAAGAGCGACATATCCTCCTAGGTTGGAGATCATGATGTACACTTTATCTAGAAATAATTGATTGTAAACATAATACGCAAACTCAAGTTAAGATATACCTAAAACAATCCATTTCCAATCGATTCAGCTACTTTCAAGTGAGCAATATTGTTATAAGCTACTATTTTACGTACATATATATGTATCCGATAAATTAGTTTAAAACTCAATTCAGAATTCCTCAGAGACATCGCTACTAAACTGTCATGGATGGGCTCATGCATGGTGTAGTTACGTCAACGATAGATAAGTAAAATTTCCAAAGGAAAAGAAGTAAATATATAACAGAAATGAAAATACGGTTTTTGCTTTGTTGGTTTTAGAGGAAGAATATATTTAACTAATTTTTGGACAAAGCAGGGAAAAAATATCAAAGAACACATGATGTGTTCGAACTAGACGACATTTTGTGGGAACAATTCTCACATGTGACCACGGATGATAACTTTAAACTGCCATATACATCCAATTCCTAATTTGTATTCCTTTTTCTTATTCTTCTAATCCTACACATTCAATACAATCCAATTTTTTATCGATATTTAATTATGATTAGTGATTACAATACAGTTACAATATTTTTTAAAAAAACTATAACGTTTATTTGATAATAAAAACTATAACGTTGATCTATTGATCTGTTATAGTCAACTATTACGACACTTTAACAAAAAAAAAAAACTATTACGACATTTTAGAATGAGACATGGGATAATTCTACCACGATTGTCGAAAATCAGTGGGTTATATTCCCACAAATTTTCAACCATTTTAACTTTGCAATGAACCATTTTCCACCGTTTTCTTGTTTTGTTGAAAACCAGTTGAAAACCAGTTGAAAACGGTCATTTTCCACAATTTTCCCACCATTATAACTGTAGTAATCGAACTTGTAGTGAATTATAAAGTATTTTGGAAATCTCCTAAATTGTTTTTTATCCAAAATCTGCAACAATAAGTAATCTATTTACGAGTACAACTTATATGTATATGCAAATGATCTCTGATATTCGTATGACTTTAATAAAACTACAAATTTTCCAAGTTTCTTCTAGGATGTTGTTGTGGAAGTTTTAAACTCTTCATCTGGACTTACATATGTAGCTAATTAGACAATTATCAACGCTACATATCCAAATGGTTATCTAAAACAATTTTTATTATTAAAATGAGTTTTTATTATTAAAATACCGTCTCTTATAGTGTTTAGATAAAAGACAGTCTTTAATTTTTATAGTGAGTTCCACACCCTTCATATTATTTTAATAATAAAAAATATTAAGAAACTCTATAAAAACTTGCGATGATCATATACTCTTATGTCAGATTCGATCGTTAATGTTCTCATATAATTGATTCAAAGTACCTCATACAAATGGTATCAAGACCGTGCCAACTATTTTGATTTGGTTTACGCGAGTACTTTTCTGACATAGGGATGATATACAACATAGGGAAAATATATACAACAAAGAAAATTGGATTTCCTAGCGAACAG